AGCATCAATATCAATTTCAACATGTCGGCACCTGCCATCACAGTTTTTAAGGCTAAAGTCACCTGAACAAAATTTGCTGAACCATCGTTGACACTTACAAACGTACAAACCATTTTCAAAAACTTCTTTGATATTCTTTGTGGCTACAGAGGCGTTGTTTCCCCTCCTTGTATTCAAACAACATTACATGCCGAATGTGTGTCTCGTCGTGTGCCATCACTATAAGGGATTAGAGTATACTAAACTTTACACATTATATAGGCTACACTAACATGATGTTTAGGTGGTTCATTAAACTATTATACATGATGTACGTTTATTGAAGGGTGGTTAATGAAAGTATTCCAAAACATCACATTAATTTCTTGACGACCTAATACATCTGTAGATAGTAAACCTTAAAGGAACTTACAAATTAAGAAAAGCTACCAACAATGGTACCAAGGCACTTTAATAAAAAAAAGGATTAAAATCTGTAGTGCAAAATTCTGGTTAATATACTTAATTATAAAAACAACATGGAACACTGTACTCTTCCATACTATTATATTTTGTATCATAAAACAATACTCACTATTCTTTGATAGATTGTTTAGGCTAAGTATTCATGATGAGTACACTCATCAATACACACTATTCATATTTTTCATAGTAAGATTATAAAAACATTAGTTTTTATGTTGTTAATATAAAACATTAATCTATGACTTAAGTTATCAAGATTCAAGAATTTACTGCCTTATACAAATTAACAATTTTCTATTTGCATAAACTATTTTACATATATTCTCATTTAATATAAAACACTCATATCATCATTCAAAAGATAGTACAACAAACATTGACATACAATACATAAGAAAAATGAACTGTTGCTTCTCTTTATTCTTCACATGTACTCAAAAAATGCAAAGATTTTAGGTGTTAAAAAATAACTTACTTCATGCATTTTCTTTAGTGAATCATTGCCTACTTTTAGTCCATCTAACACCTGGATTTCAATCTGAGCAAACTCCAAGTCATGAGCCTGTATAAAACATTAACTGTAAAGTTTCATTCACATGAAAGGTAATATCTATGACGAATGTTTTTAACTGGGTTCTAATACATAGTGTTACTCTGAATTCATCAACTATTGTACATGTATATAAACAAATCAAATCAAAGAATAGCACCATTCTATTTGATTTTCCACCAATAATCAGTTTTGAAATTATTTTCTTAAATTAACAAGTCAGTTTTGTACATAGTATCATTCTGAGAGTAATATCTCTAGTTTCTAAAATCACAAAAGTTGTGGACATTTCTTTCAGCTTGAAAATCTACTTCTTATAAGCATGTCAGTAAATCATCCAAACATATGCAGAAAGGAGTCAAAATACCTTCCGTTATGTGTTGACTACACAAAGCTCAAAATAAACAAACAAGTTAAATGTATAAGCTAAACTAGGTACCACTTAATAGAAAATAGAATGGACATTTATCTACGATCTGTTGGCCTAGTGAAGTATTTGTGCTAAGTATACTTTATGTACAAACATGTTTGGCCTACTTGGACAAGTGTTAGTAGAAGTTTACAAGGTTTACTGTGTATTAGTTTGAGATACTGTTACAGTTCCCTAAGCCACTGTTAAAATAAAACAGCACTTTTACTTTTCATATGTAAAATTTCTGATGCCTTAATTAGATATTCCCTTTTCTTCTTACACTTGTGGTAAGAATTTCCTATAACTTGTGGCTGTAGGGTATAAACATGCCAAATATTTGTTAGCAGTATACCTGTATATTAGTTACTTTCGTTACCAGTGGCATCACACACTGTAGTTAAATGAAATAGAAATTGAGCTTGTATAATAATTCATTCACATATAGCTTTGATAACAAAAATATAGCATATTTTATAGAGACAGGGTGATTAATTAATAGAAAGCAATTATTATGGCTTAGATAAAAAAAAAAGTTCTATTTAAAGACAGCCAATTTATTGTCTAGAAATTATTTATCTTTACAGTATTAAAACATTAATTTCACTTTTTTGTATGTCATTATTAAAACATTAATTTTATATTTTTGTTTGCTTGTTGTTAAGCACAAAGCTACACTATGGGCTATTTGTACTCTACCCACTGTGATTATCAGAACCTGATTTTTAGTACTATAAGCCCTTAGACTTACCACTGAGACACCAGGTAGAGGGGGACCAATGTAACTTTAACTTAATTGTTAGATATAGTTATTATTTATGCCCTTGCTTATGAGTTGTTCATTAAATTTTATTAATATGACATGGATTTACAATGCATCACCTGTTTTATAGTTAATCCAGACAGGTGCAAACTTGAATTTACTTAATTACATGTACATAATCACAAAATTTGGTTTATTGGAAGTTGTAGCATGAAAAATGTCATATGTGTGGTGTTAGCATTTTAAATCATAACAGATCAGTTGGATAATAAAACCAAAGGAGTAGAACCTGTGATCGTGACAAGATACTATCCAAGTATTGTGTAGTAAAGTTGATAAACAACCATTAAGATCAGACATCATGATTTAATAAAACATATTACCTCACCTTGATAACATCCATGCACAAACTAAACCTGTTTCTCACATCCCACTAAGATTCCCATTGGTGTTATTTATTGTGAATTATAAAGTAATAAAATAATATTTTATTTATAGATGCCACAGCTTACAATAAAGATGGATAACTTCAAACATGTAATGATGCTTATGTCATTATACTAATTAAGTAAAAAAGAAATTTTTTGTATTGTCTATTAAGAATCAGTATGCAGTTGATAAATTATTTATATATACATATTTTCAGAGATAGCACACATTTTATATGTCATTTAATATACTGTAAAATTAAATCATTAGAAAAACAAAATATTGTATGTCAGTCACTAGTGATCACTATGTATAATTTTGTACTTGTTGCATACATATTTACATCCACTGTAATAGCTTTGAAACATGAGAGATTGCTTTCTTTCCTATGTGGACTATAATGATTATTGCCATTCAACATAAATATGAACGTTCTGGTATTTTCAGACACAATATTAATACATTTCTTAATCAAATTTTAAAAATCATTAAAATATTATTACAAGGTTTAGTTATTCTCAAAACATGTTAAGTCAGTTCTAAAGGTCATCAGCTTAAAAAATATTCTTAGTGCAGTAAGTACAATTATAAAGTACTTGCATTCACTGAGGAAAAAGACATTAATCAACCAATTTACCATGTTTTCTAAGTTCATTAGCTGGGCATCTGTCTTCTCAAGCATCTGCTCCATAAATCTTTTCTTCTTCAACAAAAGTCTGGCTCTTCTGATAATTTACAGAAAAAATACATACAAATAAATCTTTTTAATCTTAACAAAGAATTTTACAAAATTATACTTACCATGATAAAACATTATGGACCCATCACCAACAATTATAAACAAAAACATTTTTAATTTTAGATATCACTGTTCATGAGACACTAGATGAAATGCACATTCACAACTACAAACACTACAATGTAAGCAATATTCCATTTTCTTAATAATGTGAAAAGTAAACAATGTCTCTGTACTCTTTCTTTCCATTTTGTAGAAGCTGTTTGGCTAGACATCTTTCCTTTTCCAAATTAATGCTAATCTTCTTTTGGTACTGTTTCAGCTTGTCTCGCTGTTGTTTCAGTTGCTGATAAAAGAATAATAATGAAAGAAATGCATGTAAAAATCAAGACACACAAGTTTCTGAAGACTTAATTATTATAAAAAAACATATGTTCTACTGCATAATTAATGACAATGGTTAACAAAAATGTGTTTAATGTCATTAAATTCTATTTCAAAATCCAAACAGTTTCTCTGATATCACACTATATAATTATAACTTCAGTTGGTATACATAATGATATTACCCACTGCCACAATGTGACAAGACACTGGATTATTGTTTGACAGAAATTAGACAAATAAATTTATTAAGAAAGCATGAAAAAATATATTATATTCATTTCAATTTTAGTAGTTATAATTAGCATAAATTATTTAAAAAGTGAAACCTTACCTTTATTATTTGAACAAATATCTATAACTAATGGTCTAAGGAATTACTTTAAATTTATAGTTGGACAATTTTGTTAATTCGGTGCTAAAATTTTCACAATTTATTTCTGTAATAACAACATTAAACTACAAAATATAAGCAACAGAAAGAGAATTCACCTCCCATAGAGGATGAATACACCAGATGAATTGTTTATTTCCAGCTGGTCAAAGTAGAAGAAAGTAAATCGCAAGAAGAGGAGGAATCCCATGGAAAAAAAAAGGTTATGTCGAGTGCCTTGAAAGACAGCAGTACAAATGAGATAATAGTGAACTGCCCTAACAACATAAAGGAGATGACTGAGACCTGAACAATTATACAGAGAAGAAAGAAAGAAAAGGGTAAGTGACTGGAGAAATCCATTCAATATTCTAAGCAGCCCAAGTCTTTGGGAGGAAGAAGAAGACTTGGAAAAAAAATCAACCTGTCCACATGGGAAACAATGCAGGAGTCATCCAAGTAAAAATATCAGAGTGATGTCAAATGCAAAAGAGAAGAAATATGTCATAAGAGAAAGATGGCATGGAGCACAGGTGGCCAAAGGTTTGAATGGAGAACACATAAGAACCTTGAGTAAATAAAAGATTCCTGCTCAGAAGAGGAACTGGAAGAGGAATAAAACTGATTAGAAAGGTTTAGAATAGGTTTGTAATAACTAAAGAAGAAGAATGGACAGGAAAAAGATGAAACCAACAATTGAAGAAATGGATAGATCAGCCTCAAAAACTAGGTAAAAAGAAAGTGAGGTGAGGAAGAGTTGAATGACCAAGAGAAAGGTAATGGAAAAGGGGCCAGCATCAATAAATAATCCAATTGCATGATTAATTGCAAGGGTGGATGGTTGACAAAGATATGAAAGAAAAAAGGCTACTCTGCAAGAAAAAACCTATCTGTCTTGCGAAAGACTGGACAAAAGCCACAGACAAAGATGAAGATGTGAAACATTGTGGTGAGAGATAGGTGTCGGAGGCTGATGTAAAAGGAATCTCCAAGATGGAAGAGGAAAAGGCTTGTGAGATGTCAAGAGGCAAACAAGAAGAAACCCCCACTGAGAAAGCCAAAGAGAAGCAGTGAGAAGAATCTAGTAAATGGTGTCACAAATAAGAAAAGCACCCAGGGAAGAAGTCAATGAGAAGGATAGGCATACAGAAAAAGGGTGGACCAATCCAGACTCAAAGGGAATACCGTCAGGGTCATGGAGTCTGGAACTGATGTAACTTTGTATAGATTAGAGTTGTAAATGCAAGAGATAAGAGGACTCCCAAAGAGGTAACAAACCTACAGAAACATTGACCACTCTGCCTAAAAGATTTAATCTGGGTGAGACAGCCAATCCACCATCAAATTCAAAGCTCTCAGAATATGAAAGGCCAACAAATATATGTTATTTCTGTGAGCCAAAGTGGAGCTCCATAATTAGAAGCAGAAACCCAGAAAGCAAGTACCTCCTTATTGATTGTTGTAAGAAATGATAGCAGTGTTGTCAAAACAGGATGCCTAAACTGTTATAACAAAAAATAGTGACAGGTCCACTGAACTACCTGCATCTCAAGGACATTGGTATGGAAAGATCACTATGCAGAAGACCAAACATCAAAAAGGATGACAATATCAAAAGTGCAACCCACCCAGCTAGAGAAGCTTCTATGAACAGGTTTAAGTCTTGGAAAGAGAAGGGAGGGGGTTAGAGTAAGATGGAAGCCATGAGTTGTAAGGTGGTAGAGAAATGAGAATAGACAGTGTATCACATGGTATAATCAACTGACCTGCCATAATATACTGTATTGGAAACAAAAAAGTAACAGTGTCTCCAAAAGAGATAGAACCTCAAAAATAGGGAAAGAATGAGACGTGAACAGTCTTGGAAACCAGAACCTTCATATGTTGGAAATATAAAGAAGGTTGAGCCCACTCAGCAAACATGGTTTAAGGACTACATAATGAACAAGAACTAAATGGGAATCAAAAATTGCTTAGGATCCTGACCAGTCAACCCTAATGACAGACTCCCAAAGGAGAAAGAAAGTTGTAGCAGAAATTACCTTACATATTAGAGCTATAAGTTCCCAAATGTCCATATAATGGTGGAAAAGCATACTCAACAAGTACAATCTCTACATGAATATCTTTAGAATTTGACTGAAAACACAGGTGTGAGTTTTGAATGACAAAGAAAGCACCTGCGAGAAAACTTGTGGGACACAAGGGTCTCCAACAAAATGTGTACAGATGCATAGAATGTAACAACCAAGCTCCCACAGGATCAAAGCTAAATGGCAGTTTCTGAAACAACAGATCACTGAGTTCCATGATGACCAGACTCTCTACAACAGGGACACCATAAAGGAACCACAAGATGAGGAACTCCCCAAAAAATGTCTGAATAAAAGAAGTGTGTCAAATGGAGTGTCTTAAGATAAAACTGTGGGAGTCAAACTCCATAAAAAAAATTACCCAAATCAAGCAAGTACCAGAATAAAGAAAAGTAACTGGGAAACAGATGAAGAAAAAAAAACAGGGCAGCATGAACAACACGTTAATGTGATCATACACCAATAAAGCTGTTGTGGTAGCAATGCAAAGCCTCAGAGGGGAAGGGTAAAAAGGACAGCAAATGAAGAAGGTGAGAAAGCAAAAGACAAAGAAGAGCAGAGAGGGAATAAAAGAGACGAAGCATGAGAAGAAGTAAATGTCAAAGCTGGGAGAAGAGATAAAGGGTGGAAAGAAGTGATATAAGAGAGGTTGAATTACAACAACAGGCCACAGAAAAGGAATCTTAAGTTCAGGTAGGATGTGGCAATTTAGAGTCAACACAAAGCACAGACTGAAAGAATCTGCAATAAAGCAATAATCATGCAAGGGAAAAAAAGACAGAAAAAAAATCCTATGAGTTGAGGTGCAAGAAGCTCACATAAGAATCAACAGGAAACAACTAGAGTAAAAGAACAAATGTCACATACCTGAGTTATCATAGCATCAACTGCATTTATAGGTAGATATATTTTCTTCCCTAATAGTAACTTATTTGTAGCAAATTTAGTACTTTCATGTAAACTTGATTGATAAGCCATCATTACTATGGATAACCACTCATCCCAATCTTGATGATGTTGCAAAACAGCCATATTTAACAATATCGTAACCATTTGTACATTCTATCTACTGAGCCATTGTTTTAGAGTGATAGGTGATGATCAAGTTACACATTTTCTCAAACACAGCTGATTAAAAATTACATTCTCAATCTGAACAAATACAGGTTATCATGTAAAACCAAGACAAAATTTAAAAGTACTCTTGACGCATCTTGAGACCCATAGTACTCAATGGAAATACTTTAGCCAATTCAATAACAACCACCTTCCATTATCAATATTAAGTTATGACTGAACAAAGTCTCAGGAAATAATCACACTAAGTATATACCTAGTCTCTCTATGGACAAAAAATGGTTGTACATGAGCTTTATTTGTGCTACCTAATTTTTTTTCTGTTACACATCTAACAAATTTAAATACAGTTCTTCATAACCTTTTACCTGTACAATATATATTTTCAAAGAATTCAGAGTAACTGCTCAAATTATATGACCAGGCATTCTATTCCACAAGTTTAGAACTCTGAGCAATAAAGAAAATTGTTAAAGAAAAAACTTGCTTATACTGTATGTTAATATGTGTAATAGAATTCCAATTTTTATTGCTATATAAAACTTGTGATCCCAATTTTAATAATCCAAATGCATTAACTTGAAGAATTAAATGACATTTGCCAAATATCTGTCCAACTTACAAACTGATCCAAGTTATTTTGCTGTCCCTAAATATCCTAAAAAAGCTAGAAATATCCAAAAAACAAACTTTAATAACTTACTAAAAAAAGTTATATATGTTGTAATAGGATCTGCAACCCTATCAACAGCATTAATGTAAAGAAGAAAAACCAAAAGGCCCACACACACACACTGACCCCTGATGAAGCACTCCATGAGCAGCAAGGGTCAAAGACTGACTCTATTAATTACAATTTTTTGCATTTAGTAGTGCTAGTGCACATGTAGGAGACTAACGTGGGTAGTGGCAAGTCAGAAGTTAATTAGTAATACAAAGAACTACTTTACTGTGTTAGTTATCAACTATATGAAATGGCTTGCCATATTACTTTGTGCTTTATTAGTTTGCATATATTTAAGATTTTGTTCGAAACTTTTATGGATAAAAGGAGTTATATTAGGTTAGGTATGGAGGGCTTCTTTGTTGTGTGATCTCAACAAAACAAGCAGCCTACTGTCAGCTAGTATTTTTTTTTTTTCACTTCTTAAGTCAGTAACTGTTCTAAGGACTGATAACCCTACCAGGCCCAAACTATCTATAATATAGTATGACCAGAGAGTAATAGACTAGCCAAGTGTCAACCGAGATTGTTATTTGATGATCTAGCTAATAACTTAATAAAGGTAGTATCATTATCATTGATAATATCAATTAAGAAAACTATTTTAATTTAAAAGCTGACGACGTTGTATTGTATGATTACTAACGGAAACTATAACTAATATAAGTTACTCGGTTAGCAATACAGTCTATTACGTATTAGTATTACTATTAATAAGTAATATTAGTACTACTATCTAGTATTGGTATTAGTTTAGTTAGTAATGGTAGACATAACAATTAGTAGTTTACTTACCAATATTGCTTTATCTTGTTCTGTAACCCGTGATACTTTTTTATTGTGTTTTCCAAATAAAATACCCATTTTAAGTTGGTTTTTCTGATAAAACTGTTTTGTTAATGTTTAAAATATGAAAAAAAATTAATGACGTTATAAAACCAAAACAGGAACTATTCCGTATACATACCCATCACCCCTTATGCACGACATATACAACGCCTCCTAGTTTATAACACATTTTTTTCTTTACACACACGCACATATATATATATATATATTTAACAATCATATTACTCTATCAATAAGTAAATTTTTAATGTAGCAAGTTAAAACTCATACAATTTTACCCACATCATGTTTTTCTTTAATGAGCTTATCAGTTGACATTTTTATTAATAATACAAATTTAGTATAAGGAAATTGATTTAGTATAGAATATTTTTAAGCATTTTGATTTTTTATATTTTATTAAAGAGTTTTAGTATAAAAAGGTATCAATAACTCAAGATTGTTTGTCTGTAATTAAGAGTAAAGCTGTTAATGGGTTATCTATGCTCTACCCACAAGAGGTATCGAAACCTGGGTAGTAGCATTATAAATCCGCAGACTTTTCACTGTGCTACAGGATGACTAATAACTCGCGAATAGGTAATTTTGGTATGACTGACAACACCCTCCACCCAAAAAACCGGATATCTACGAAGATTATCTTGTGTATTATCACTTTCAAAATTTCGTTTGAAGAACCTCAGCCTCCAAAGTTTCATTTTTCTGAATATTTGCTCTATTCATCATGACATTACCTCTCCAATATATGTCGTAATAGGATCTGCAACCCTGCCACACAGAGAGTTGAGTATGTTATATTAAAATGATTTCGAATGTGAAAATAAGCAGATCACGTGACGAACACAGCCCATATAAAGTCGCGATAGAACTTTTTGTAGGTAATGTGATGCTACCGAAAATTAACCGCTTTTGGGAAGGGAGTATAAAGTCCTTTCCGATGCCAAGTATTAAAACATTCAGATCAGAAAGATGTGTTGCGATCAAGACCTGCAACAAGTCGTACTGCACGTGATAACCAAAGTGTGGCATCTTATAATAGACATGAACCCACAAACACAAAGGCCGTCCACGCGTCTCAAGCAACAAAACGCAACATAATAAAGAAGTATCTCTGTCTGGAAACAAAGCCAAAAGGCAGCGGCGTAACGTTTAGACATGGCA